TTGGCTTCCCTCTCTGATGCACAGCTTCGTTGGGCACGGTAGCATCAGAGAGCCGTGCCCCCCTGCATTCTCCCTGCGGGAAAGAGAAACTGTCTGCGCTCCCCGTGCGGGAAGGAGAAATGTTTGCGCACTCCCTGCGGGAAGGCAGAAATGCTGCGCGGCATCTGCGGACAACCTTGTAAGAGCATGGAATACAAACACCCCTGCGTTCTCTCTGCGGGAATGAGAAACTGTCTGCGCTCCCTGTGCGGGAAGGGGAAAATGTTTGCGCACTCCCTGCGGGAAGGCAAAAATGCTGCGCGGCATCTGCGGACAACCTACATGGAATGCAAGCACTGTCAGTCGCCATGTACAAGCGTTTCCACACACACACACACCCACACACCCACACACACACACACACACACCCCTGCAAGAGGAATCTTTTTATCATGCATTCTGGGTCGCCTAGGGCGAGTCTCGGCTGTCATCTGAAGGCTGCACACTTGCCAGCACAGCAAAACATTAATTGGCATGGGGTGTCATAGCATGGTGTAGCGAATCCATGCTATGGCGTACGGCTTCTCTTCCTCTTCCTCGTAGTGGAGGTCGTGTTGGAATTAGTCGCCGTGGGCGTAACAGTTGCCACAGCATCTTGTCGATGTTGAGGTTGTTCGAGAAGTTGTTGTTGCTGCAGAGCTATGTTACGATCTTTGCGTGCTCTGTCGAGCAGCCATGCTCTCGTCACCGGAAACCAAACTCGCTGCCAGTGATTGTTCACTTGGCTCCAGTAGTACCTCCATGATGTGGGGCCTCCTGTGCGGTCGACGTCGCCGGAGCCGTTCATGTTGTCAATGCGGGCTGTGGCTATGAGAGAGCAGAGTGGCTGCGTGAGTTTAGCTGAGGTGGGTTAGGTCATAACCGCATACAAGGCACAAGAAACAGCAAACTGCACTGAAGAACATGTCTTCCCGTGCGGGAAGGAGAAAGTGTTTGCGCACCCCTTGCGGGAAGGAAAATTGTTGCGCAGCATCTGCGGACAACCTTTGTAGGAGCGATAGAAGGAAAGCACTGTCGGTCGCCATGTGCAGGCGTTTCCACACACACACACACGCCCTGCTTTTGCAGGGCAGGTGTAATTTGACCAAGTTACCGGTTGAACCGACCTGTCTGTTGACAACCAAAACTCTACAGTCGTGGTGAACACGAGGATTGTGTGTTCGGACATTGTGAAACGTACATAAAATGGCAAGCACGACGTAGGTTGGCTCGAACTAACATCTTGGCACATGCCCGGCTTCGAAAGGCACTGGGTTGATGAAACATCATAGGATCACCCATTGTGGCACTTGAGTGTGCCTCGCTTGCAGCTTCCGACTCAGTAGCGGCAGAGCGGGCGGAGGTCTTTTTGCTTTCTCTTGGACTTCTTTGCTTTTCCGCGCTTAGCCTTCTTCTTGCTGCCGTTCTTTTTCTTGGTGGACTTTGCGGGCTTGTCTTTCCTGGTCGTGGGGAGGTTCTTGGGAGGGTCAAAGGCTGATGACCATGAGCTTGCATCGTCAGGAAGCTCGGGGTAGTGTAGGTACGACTGTGAGGTGTTGCTCATGTCGAGCAATCTAGACACTGGCACAGGAAATGGCTGCGAATGCAGAGCATGCTGGTGAAATGAGGCGTGAAACAAGCTGCAAAAAGCGGAACATTGGTTGTGCCATGAACGAATCAAGAAGCAAAACACAGGTGTGAAATGCGCGCCTGTTTATTCTCCATCAATGCCTTAAGGTGAGGTAAGTCAACGTGGCAAACGTTGTTCAAGCTCTCGAACTCGCTGCTGCAGGTTGTTAATGTCCTGCGTCGTTTTCTCTATGAAGTCTGCGAGCATGTCACAAAATATTGGATCACGTAAGGCACTCGGTGTGGATGAGCCGCGGGATGACGAGTTGCCTGCTTCGCCAGCCGAGTCTTCTCCACCAAGAATCTCGAGCAGAGCACGAGTGATAGCTTCCCGGCGTGCATTGGGGCTCTCTGGAAGCGCGTCTTCCTCCATTGAGTACGACGGCAAGTTTAAAAGGACTACCTTAAGCCAAGCTCGGAACCTGTGCACAAGTCTGCAAGTCTACACTGCTGGCAAGGCAAAGATGTTGGCGTAGACACGGCGGGCCGAGTCCTTTTTACTTTTCACGAGGTGACACTCTGATCAGGTGAACTTCCAAAACTTCGCTTTGAAGTCAAATGAATGAATGGGTAGGCCTCGTTGCTCCGCGAGGTCCCACAAATAGCGGAGATCCATGAGAGCTTGTGTTCGAGGGTAGGAGCACTTTTTGATAGTGCGAGCTCGTGCCAACACTCCGCTCAAAAGAACAGGTTGAGGGGCGGCGGAATATGTGCTGGGAATGTCATGTGTTGTGCATGCCCTGCTGTAAAGTATTCGGCGTTCCTCAAAGTCGAGAGTGAACCCCACAAACTCAAATGCTGGTTCCTCCTCGAGGATGATGGAGCCACCATAAAAATGGTTATTCAACAGTAAGCGTATGCCCGGAAGCTGCTCGAATCGGCTTTCGGAAAGCCAGAGTCTATTATCAACGTAACGTAGGCCGAGAAGAGACCGACTCATGTTGGAGCAGCTGATGTTGAATGTGCGCCGCCAGATTTCCTCTTGCGCAGCAATGACCATCCCGCATAAGGCGGGTGAGAGGGGGGAGCCCATAGGTGAGCCAAAGCATTGGCGGAAGTTTCGAGTTGAAACTCGGAAATGCTGCAATGCAAGGGCATGTCGTATGATGGTTGGTAGGTCTTCGCACCAGATGGTGACTTCCCGAGAGGCCCGGGTGCGACGTCGGCCCCGAAAGACTCGCAGCTGTTGCGCCTGCTCTTTAAGGTTGACTGAAAAAGTAGTGTCCGCTTGGGCACCATGTCTCTGCCTGTAAAACTCCAAATTGATTCGCCAGGCGTGCAAGAACTGAGACTGAGAAATGGAGTTAAAGAATCCGGCAAGGTCCTGATTGCGGCAATGCAGTTTTTCAGTGGTGCCGAATTGAAAAAAAAATTCACGAACCTGACGTAAAAGTTCGTACACATCTCCCTTGGAGAAGGCCTGAGGAAAGGCAAGGCTGCATATCCTGTGAAGAAGCCGAGAGGTGGCCTCCAACAACGGTCGCATGAAAGCGTCGACAAAGGAGACGATGGGTCGTCCCGACGCAAAATCTTTTTTGCGCTTCGGTAGTGCATACGCTCGTGGGATGACGGGTGTGTGCCGAAACGCCCACGGATATCGACGTTGAAGGTCGCGTTTTGCTGCCTTTTGGACCTTCTTAACTTGTTCCTCGAACGTGCGAGGAACTTCCTGAAACACTTGTGGATTACCAAAGGTGCCCTCAAGCATGCGATGATACAAAGTGGGGCAAAAGCAGATTGCCGTGCGGGGGTGGTGGTCCTCGGTGTGCCAAATGGTGCCTCGTGTTTTGAATTTGAGGCTGTCCACGGCTTCCCGGTGGTACCTGGCTTGTACCTGGGTGAGGTGTTTTTCCCAAATCTGCTCGAAGACCTCAGTAAGGCCTCGCGGTGGGCCTGGCAACGCGTTGGTGCGACACCTGCATCCAAAAATTGGGTGCGGATCTGGGCCTTGTCAGGAAAGAAGGTGTCAGTGACCGAGCCGCTGGCAATCTGTTTTTCAAGGGAACTCAAGAAATGCGTGAGTTCGATCCCCCTGGCTGCCACATGGCCACAAGATGTGGGGGCCTTGGGTGCGTACTTTTTGATGAGGTCACACTTACATGTGGGCTCCTTGCGCGTTGCCCATTGCTTCAATGCATCCTGATGATTAAACAAAGCCTGGGCGATGCGTGGATGACGAGGGAAGACCACAGTTGTCTTCGGCACGTGGAAGGGAGTAATGGCATGGATGCACTCCGAAGTGTAAGCGCGCATGCACGTTCTTAGGTCTTGGCGGTAGGTGTCGTGAGATAAGAACGGGACCCGTAGAGGTCGGGCCCCTGGGGAGGGAGGAAACCTCGGAACTTGAGAGCAGAGCTGATGGCGCGTAATGCATTGGGCGCCATGTACGCAGGCAGGTGCTTCGCCATACGGTGAAGGCACAAAGTGCAGGGTAACTGAACTCGCTGCTCCTTAAATGCTTGGCAGCAATGAAATGAGATTCAGTATTGCTGCCGAGTTGAGTGAGTAGTACCCATGTGGCTTCTTTTGTGCGAAAGGAAGGCTTGTCGAAGATGGCGAAGAGGGGGGCGGGGAGTCCCCGACCTGCACCGGAGTGCTGCTTTTTGCGGCGTTTTCGCCACAGGCGTGACAGGCCGATCTTCTGTGCATGTGTGGCGTCAGGTGGCTTAATGATGCCTCGGCATGGGCAAAACCACCGTGCAATGAAGGGAAAATTGAGTGGAGGCTGCAGTGTCTGGATGAGAGCTTGTTCGCGCCCCCGGAGAAGATCATGGGGGACAACATCGGTCACCGGAATGATGCACCAGTTCCAGAAAGTCCGGTGATGTGCCCAGAATCGGATGGAGAGTTCAGCCGATACGAGCTTCTCCTCGAGCACCTGTTTGTATTTGCGAAAGCGGCTGTGCTCCCGGATCATCACGGATTTTTCCGTGCTTCCCACGTAAAAGAGCTTGGCATGCTTCTTAATGGGAGAGAAGCGCAAATACAACACCGACTCGGCACTGAATTGCTGAAAGCTGGGGTAGCCTGGTACGATGCCAAGGACACGGAACACGCCTCTCAACACATGGGTGTCAGGCAAAGTCCGATGTGCTTCATGTATGGCAATCCGTGCACAGCACCATTGAGCTACAGAGCAGCTGGGAAAATCGAGGTGTAAAATGTCGGGGGCGAGGCCACCGACGAGGCATCTAAAAGCTTTGGCGGCTGCTTGTGTGTGCCTCAGAACACAGCGCCGCGTTCGTCGATAAGATGCCAAGAGGAGTCACCGCTCCATGTAGGAGCCAACTGCAATGAGCTTTGCCAAAGGTTGCTTCTGCAGCTTGGTGACAGTAGCGGGAGGAACTCCCCAAATGACTGCCGTTCTGCGGATTTTTGTCAAGAAGTCGTCGGTGTCTTGGGCTTCAACCCAATCTTCGACTTGCTTCAGCCAGTCCTGCAACTCGGATTGTTTGCGGTCGTTCAAGGTCAAGGAATTGATCCAGGCCCTGAGTTCTTTATCATGGCATTTGGCTGGAAAATGGGAAGCGAGCCATGGTGAGCCTTCTTGTGGTGGCTGCATGATGGAGGAAGGTTCAGGCTTGGCAGAGGTGCCAAGGTTGGAGCCGGGGCTGAATTGCAAGGGTAACTGTCGCAGCTTTTGGCCTGCGAGTGCAGGTGCAGCATTGGGTTTGGTCGTGGAGTTTGGTGAAGACGACTCTGCTGGCGGCGCAAGGGGGGAACGATCGGCGTTGTTGCCACGGGCAGGGGGAGGAGTGGAAGGACCAGGGGCTCCAACACCGGTGTTATTGTCGGGAGGAGCACTGGCCGATTGCCATTGCTGCTGCTTTTGAAGCTGTTGTTGGAGACTGCCAATCTGGCCTTCAAGCTCACGAATTCGGGCGTGAGACTCGCAGTCTGTCTCGACCGGTATCTTGCTCTTTACCTGGTCGACAAGAAACTGGCCCAAGGCTTTGACAGCAAGGTTCTTAGCTTGTGAGGTTTGGGTTTGGACAGCAAGGTTGGTGGCAGCTGCATCGATGTCCAGACCCTGAGCTCTAATTTGTGAAAGGAGCTCACCGGCCAGTACCATTTCGGCTTTGGTGCGAGCAACAATGAAGTAAGCTTCTTTGCCGGCTGCGATCCACCGGAGCCAATAGCTGTTCCATCCCTGGTACAGGAAGTGGGCGGGATGTAGGTTGGTGACAGGAAATGCCGGCAATTCCTTTTTCAGGAGGATGACACAACATGTCGAGGACAACTGAGGTTGCCAATGCTGCGACGGGTATCCAGGTAGTCGTTGTCCTGCAACCAGTCCTCGGGCACAGGCAGAGTCATGGGAGGATGTGGCGTAGCAGTGCCGTGTCCTCCTGAGGCGACAGGTGCTCGTGGGGTTGAAGGATATCCTAAGGCAGGGACAGGAGAGAGAGGTTCTGGCGCAGTTGCTTTGGTCTGGCCGCCGGGTGAGCCAGGAAAGGATGTAAAAGAATGACCGGGGAAGATGGTCTTGGCAAGTCCAGGCATGGAGCCCAGTGTAGGATGCAGTGGCATGATGGTGCTGCGGGCCGGTGCCGAAGGCCAGTGGCCGTATTGCAAAGGACGGTGAGGGGGAGTGAGGACGGGGAGTGATGGGCCCCTCGGTGGAGGGGTAGGCCATGTTGGCACGGCTGGGAGGGTAGGCCCGATCGTGGAGGAGGAGTACGGCTGCGGTCCATGGCGCAAAGCTAACCTAAAGCTAAGCAAAAAACAGCTACGGGTGAAACCAAGCTACGGAACGTCCTAAGTCAGTTGAGCCAACTATGCAAAGCAAACGGCGGCGAAACAGGTGAAAGGCAATTACGAGGCGAACATCAATTGCGAAAGGAGCACGGACTGGCACAAAGCAATCAGGTCTCTGTTTATGCGGCTGACCATGCTGTCGGTTGTGACTCCTCACAGGGGGAGGGGTACCACGAAGCCGCGGATTCTGGTGAAAGCTGCATTGAAGGCCCAGCGATCCTTCGTTCGGATGGCTCCTCGCCGGAAGCACAGGCGAGATTCTTCAACTGTGTCAGACCAGGACACGTTGACGTGTGGCTGAACTGTATGGCACTCTCCCATGATCAACATGCCCTGAAGGCCTTTTGAAATCCGAAGTTCTTTGGCCACGGCCGTCTGCACCGA